GAGTCGTTGTCATACTGGAAGACCCAGCCACGACTAATCTTCAATGCTCTTACTGAGGGAAGGAGGTTGTTGGCCAAGATCTCGCGATACATGGCCCCATCCATCCTCCCCTCAATACGGTGCAGTCGTCCTGTCCCCTTTGCAGAAAAGCATTCCCAAAGAATGATGTTTCCACCTCCATGCTTCATGGTTGGGATGGTGTTCTTGGGGTTGTACTCATCCTTCTTCTTCCTCCAAACACGGCGAGTGGAGTTTAGACCAAAAAGCTCTATTTTTGTCTCATCAGACCACATGACCTTCTCCCATTCCTCCTCTGGATCATCCAGATGGTCATTGGCAAACTTCAGACGGGCCTGGACATGCGCTGGCTTGAGCAGGGGGACCTTACGTGCGCTGCAGGATTTTAATCCATGACGGCGTAGTGTGTTACTAATGGTTTTCTTTGAGACTGTGGTCCCAGGTCTCTTCAGGTCATTGACCAGGTCCTGCCATGTAGTTCTGGGCTGATCCCTCACCTTCCTCATGATCATTGATGCCCCACGAGGTGAGATCTTGCATGGAGCCCCAGACCGAGGGTGATTGACCGTCATCTTGAACTTCTTCCATATTCTAATAATTGCGCCAACAGTTGTTGCCTTCTCACCAAGCTGCTTGCCTATTGTCCTGTAGCCCATCCCAGCCTTGTGCAGGTCTACAATTTGATCCCTTATGTCCTTACACAGCTCTCTGATCTTGGCCATTGTGGAGAGGTTGGAGTCTGTTTGATTGAGTGTGTGGACAGGTGTCTTTTATACAGGTAACGAGTTCAAACAGGTGCAGTTAATACAGGTAAGGAGTGGAGAACAGGAGGGCTTCTTAAAGAAAAACTAACAGGTCTGTGAGAGCCGGAATTCTTACTGGTTGGTAGGTGATCAAATACTTATGTCATGCAATAAAATGCAAATTAATTACTTAAAAATCATACAATGTGATTTTCTGGATTTTTGTTTTAGATTCCGTCTCTCACAGTTGAAGTGTACCTATGATAAAAATTACAGACCTCTACATGCTTTGTAAGTAGGAAAACCTGCAAAATCGGCAGTGTATCAAATACTTGTTCTCCCCACTGTACTATATACACTTCATGGACACAGTATATTTTACAACAGTTTTCTTTTGTTTGTTTTTAGTCCCATCCTTCAGCTACATTCAAACCCTCCCATCTATCTCTGAAGACCATCCAGTTTTGATTTCTATTTGCCATATATTTTTCAACTGTGCTGTTTCACAAAATGTCTGAACCTATATACATTTTACGGACACAGTATATTTTACATTAGTTATTTTTAGTCCCACCCTTAAGCTCCACTCAACCCCTCCCATCTATCTCTGAACACAATAAAACAAGATTCTCTGGTCTGCTGAAACCAAGATTGGAGGAAACCTGGCACCATCCCTACGGTGAAGTGTGGTGGTGGCAGCAGCGGCAGGGACTGGGAAACTAGTCAGGTTTGAGGGAAAGATGAAAGGAGCAAAGTACAGAGAGATCCTTGATGAAAACCTGCGCCAGGGCGCTCAGGACTTCAGTCTGGGGCTAAGGTTCACTTTCCAACAGGACAACGACCCTAAACACACAGCCAGGACAACGCAGGAGTGGCTTCGGGACAAGTCTCTGAATGTCCTTGAGTGGCCCAGCCAGAGCCCGGACTTGAACCCGATCAAACATCTCTGGAGAGACCTGAAAATAGCTGCGCAGCGACACTCCCCATCCAACCGACAGAGCTGGAGAGGATCTGCAGAGAAGAATGGGAGAAACTCCCCAAATACAGGTGTGCCAAGTTTGTAGTCGAGGCTGTAATCGCTGCCAAAGGTGCTTCAACAAAGTACTGAGTAATGTGATATTTCTGTTTTTTTTTTGAAGAATTTCGTAATTTTTATACAATCCTGTTTTTGCTTCGTCATTATGGGGTATTGTGTGTAGATTGATGAGGGGGGAAAAAAACTATTTAATCCATTTTAGAATAAGGCTGTAATGTAACAATATGTGGAAAAAGTCAAGGGGTCTGAATACTTTCTGAATGCACTGTATATAAAAAGTTTATAGATCTAACTTAATTATATTATAAATATAACTTTTCTAAATTATGAAATATTAGATCAACTTACCTCAGAATCGTTTTGTTAGTGACTTAAAAAGTTTTAATGAGACAGATAGCATTTTTAGTTGAGCAAGAGTAGTGGCAGCCAGGGAAAGTGTTGGGGGGGGGGGGGGGGGGATTCTGATGTAAAGTGGTTTCTGTGAGAATTACAGGGGGCAGTTACCCTATTCGATGTGCTCATGGAATTTACCTCCTCTACTTACTTTTTATTGATTATATTCTGAGAGGTCAAAGTAAAAAATGTGGGTGAATTACTAAACGGCTGTGGTGTAAAACTATGAAGAAGTTGTAGATCTTGAAAATCAGTTGAAATAACTATTTTAAACAATACCAGTTTATTGTCACTTGGCAATAATAATTATTCATAGCTTATACAGTTACTTGATGTTTCAAGTGCAGCTTTGCAATCTATTCATCTTGATATTATTGAGAGGTTGTTTCCATTCAGGTTGCAGGCTATTGTCCCTTTTCACAATGAAATAACAGGGCTATTCCTCTCCTGTGTCAGTGTTGGTCCTCTCTCTGTCTGTCAGCAACTCTGCTTGGCAGACCTATTTCACACACAATTGGACTGTTATTTAATTGCCTGTGAAAGAAAGGGAGCTAAAGGCCTGATATTTTAAATTAGCCTTGGATAAAGAGCATTAGTAAGGCTTTGTTGTAACGTTGACTTCTCCTTCCCTATCACCATCAATCCCTGGTTACAAGCAATGAGCCATTTGCCATTACAAAGCTTGTTAGGAATGTCCAGGCTGTGTAATTACCTGTGTCAATGGCAATGATTGTCTCCAGTGTCAGCTGATTCATCACTACATAATTTTATAGGTTGAAACATTCAAGAAATCTCTTTGAAGAGTGGTGTAAACACTGAAAATGTCTCATGTGTATAGGGTTTGTCATATGTTCTTGAAAGATTGACATGGCTTGAAATAATCACGTACATCCAAAATGTGCATAATGTGGCTATCTTGCAATAACGAACACTTTGACAGCCCTCTTCAAGTACATATTTTTCGTATAAATGTTATTTATAAACAAATGTGAGTTTTGTAAAACTTTTGCCCTTGGGATGAATTCTTCAACTGAGTTTCATCAACGGATTCGGTTAATGTTGGTATTGCACATGGACTCTCTTTTTTTTATTAGGGGGAGACTGAGTTTGGTGCAAGCCATAACATCCCCAGACAGCCAACCACTGACTCCACGTCCACGGCAGCAGCTGTCCTTTACAGTTTCACGTGGCGCAAATATTTAACTCGCAATATTTTGCTAATATAAAAACGTAATTAAATGTATCTGGCTCGACGAAACTCACGCTAAATTGCTGTTTTTCCGTCATTTTCGCAGAGATAATAATGAGGTAAGTGCTTCCGGTCGCCATATTTGTGGTGCTTAGCAATAGCGGCAGCGCAGATAGAACAAGGAGCTATTTATAAATATCTTTGGCAGCAGTGTGCAGAAATTGTATGGCATATTCGATCTACATTTGTGACTTATTTTGGATAGATATTTACGTTAAAAAACAATAAAACAAAAACAAAAAGGATGTCTAAAAGGTATCGGTTGGATTCGGGAGATAATTGTTATTCATCGAGTAAAAAGAGAATGTCTTCTGATGGGTGTATAGCAGGGAGAGGGAGGGATCCTTTGTTTTTGTGTTTCATGGGCACTGCAGTGCAGGAGAGTTTTGGCTGCAACTAACGTCGTTCGCATGCTATCTAGCTAGATCGAATGTAAATGCAGAATGGACAAAACGTCCAGGGTCGTGTATACGGCAAACAAGTATTGTAGTCTAGTTACGTTAGCTATCTAGTCTTCTAGATCCCCGGGACCACCCATATGTAAAAATGTGTGCGCACATGACTGTAAGTCGCTTTGGATAAAAGCGTCTGCTAAATGGCATATTATTATTATTATTATTATTATTCTAAATAAACACGCAGTGTAAGCTAACATAGTTAGCAAGCAGCTAAAGCAGGCTAACGTTACAGAACAGTGCAAGAGATGCATCATTCATGCACGTGGGTTTGCCGCCCGCGCGTGGCCCGTTAGGTAGGTGGGTAGCTAGCTAGTTAGCATCCAGTCAGTAGTATTGCTAATACTAGCTAGCTGGTTTGCCAGCTATCATAGTAGAGAATGTTAACTAGTTATGTTAGCTAACTAACGGTATATTATTTGCTTTTTAAACAACAAATGTAAGTGGCTAGCTGACATTATGCTTTAGGTTTGTTTTGATTGAAACTACCCGAAAAGCCACTTACTAACTGTTAACTAGCTAACATAGCTAAATCACAAACGTTATCATTAATATACTGCAACTGAAGGAAAATACCAATTCCCTAATCCCAAGCTATATCAAATGTATAATTTGTATATCATCCAATGATTCAGTTGTCAGTGGACGTCAACGTGGTTCTGAAACATGGCCAACTTTGTCAGAACAGGATTCATTCATGAATTAAATCCTTACCTATAATTGGGTACTGAAATGTCAACATTCTAGGCCCATAAGAACATGACAAGAGTTCTGAAGGGTCAACTGGTGAATGTACTCAAGCCAACATGATGTCCTAGGAAATAGTGCAGTTGCTCTTGACACAGGCTGCATTGCCAAGACCAGTTTTTGCCTTTGGCCAATTCATCAAATGGAGTCTTCAACATTGGTCTCATCAAAGAAGGAAAATCAATACGTTGGTTCTGGGGTGCAGACATGCATCGTAGCATAATAAAAAGGAAATAAAGATATTGCACATTTGTAAAAGGAAAGTGTTCCCCTTTTGATATTTTAGGCCATTAATTTATTCGTTAATGTGACCTTTGCATGCTACACTTGATTACATCCTTCTGCAGCGTGAAAGGGAAATGCGCAGTAACCTTTTCATGTTATTTGAGGAAAAGGACATGACATACCCGAACCGCGGTGCATTCTAGGATCTGAGCTGTCCTATTTCTGTGTTGGTTGTTTGGTTCATTCCATTTTGGAATGGTGATGGGAAAAGAGATGGGAATGGGGCCTGGCCGATATAAAAAAAAAGAAAAGCTTTGTCTAGTCTAAGTCACACTATTCACATTCATGCCTCGACCACAGGCGAGACCGCGACAGGGACCGCGACGAGCGGTTGAAGGACAGGAACAGAGGCCGGGACGTCAAGCCCTCTGGCATGGCCCTGAACCCGGCTGTTGGCAGCGGCATCGCAGGCCTCCTCTCCCACAAGCAGACGGCCATGCAGCAGCAGATCAACCCGTTCACCAACCTGCCCCACACACCGCGCTACTACGAGATCCTGAAGAAGAGGCTCCAGCTGCCCGTGTGGGAGTACAAGGAGCGCTTCAACGACATCCTGGGACGCCACCAGTGCTTCGTGCTTGTCGGAGAGACGGGCTCCGGCAAGACCACGCAGGTAACCAGGACAAGGGGTAGACGTGTGCATGGGGGGTACTCACACAGTCAGTAAGTCTCAGTCAGTCAGTTACTCAAGACACAAACAGACACACACACTTACTCGCACTTAATGCAGAGGTCGCACTGCATGTTTCCTGAAGTGGCTGACAGCAAATTATGACTGGGAAAAACATTGGAACGTTTGTCAATAATTTATTGATATTGGTCTGTTAAGGATTTACATTCATGTGGTGGTGAGACGGAATGTATCTATTCATTGTTCTCCAAGCCATATAGCATTATATTCACAAACAAACGGTAACACAGCCAAGAAAAGTCAACTGATAACTCGATACTGACTGTTTCCTATGAGATGCCTGGGTGCCCTCACACACACTCCCGTTATTTGCAGAATAATCCTGCCGCTGTGACCCATCTCCTTTTCCCCCCATCTTGATTTGTTGACATGTTAAATGCAGTGTGTGTGTTTCCCCTCCCTGTAGCAAAGTGGTTGGTTGCCACTAACAGGCACTCATCCGAGCCCAAGGCTAATCCGGCAGAAGGAACAGTTTCTAACTTTAGGCCGCTCTTAGCAGGTCCCCTCGTCTTTTGAACAGTGTGCGGGGGGATCCCCACCCGGGAGTGCCTATCAGCAGAAAGCTGTCAGACTCTGTCTAATACAAGCTATCATCTCAGCTTCTCTGGAGCTCGCAGTTGATTATCAGAGCGTGGGCGTGATCGGGGACGGTGGCATGGGGTTTACAGACAGTAAATGGCAGTTTATTTATTCTTCGCTCTCCAAAACATCCATGCTATCAAAGTGTCTGTGTTTTTGACTCAAAGCTATCTTCAGTGCCATTTTGTAAAGCGCTTTTGAATGGTATTGGTTTGGTTGCTGATTTGTGGAAGGTGGGGAAGGTCAAGGGATAGTAAAAGTGTGAAAAAAAAGTAAGAGTGTGGTTGAGTAACTTGTTCCTCTCTCCATCTCCCCCTCTCCCTCCTCAGATCCCCCAGTGGTGTGTGGACATGGTGAAGGGCTTGGGCGGACCTAAGAAGGCGGTGGCCTGTACACAGCCCAGGAGGGTGGCAGCCATGAGCGTGGCTCAGAGGGTGGCCGACGAGATGGACGTCATGCTGGGCCAGGAGGTCGGTTACTCCATTCGATTCGAGGACTGCAGCTCGGCCAAGACCTTCCTCAAGTAAATGCCAGTCTCTACTGAAGTTGAACTTCCACAAACGGTTTTATTTCACTGAGGTTGTTCAGTGAGGTGCATCGTAGCAATACATTTTGCAACGGAAAACAATTTAGCATGTCCAGATAGTACCTCCCTGTTGTTCTCTGTTAGCGAAAAAGTTAGATTTCAAATATCCTTTACAAGCAAAACCTGGCTAATTTAGCAGTACACAGTTAATAATTAAGTTGTTAGATTAAAATGTCCACTTTAAAGACTTACCTGTTGTGTTTCCTCCCTCGATGCAGGTACATGACAGATGGTATGTTGCTGCGGGAGGCCATGAACGACCCCCTACTGGAGCGCTATGGCGTCATCATCCTGGACGAGGCCCACGAGAGAACGCTAGCCACAGACATCCTCATGGGTGTCCTCAAAGAGGTCGTCCGACAGAGGTCCGACCTCAAGGTACATGTCAAACCCCCATACCCCTGGGTGCAATGCACTGAACCTTGCAGGTAAAAATGTCCTGAATAGAGCTGACCTTATTTCTACTTGACTCTACTTGTCAGAGGAGCATGTCAGTTCTATGCTGTATTTCTATCTAAATGTTTCCTAACTTTGTGCACCACTGAAAGCGATCTGAGCTTTCACGCAAGTGCCAGGTGAATGCAACCCTGGCCTTGCCAACAGTTCCCACTCGCCAGTCTACATTCCACAGCATCTCATAGTCATGCCACAGAGTTTCTAAACCCAAAGGCGCCAAATCGTGAGACTTCCAGGAACGCTTTTAGGGATTGAGATGTCAATGAGAGAAGTGAAAAATTATTCCTTAGTTGTTCATTTTCTCGATTTCTAAAGGCACAACCTAGATTTGTGCCAATTTCTTAAGTCGCTGAACCTGTCGTTACTACAACCTTGTGAAAGTGACAAACTGACACGTTTTCGTTTGAATGATAAGTGCCTTTGATTTAACAGCCGCAGTTCGACACAACCTGTAGACCCTGTGACGTGTTTCTGCGCATGAGCTTAGCTAGCTAACGTCACCATGACATTGCCTACAAGCGATCAGGGATTTCTATTGGAGAAGCAGTTTCTGCTGTGTTCGTTACTGCTTCTCAAAGCCCTGTACCGTTTGATCCTCATGTCTTCTCCTCTGCTCACTCTCCTAGACCCAAATCCTACCTCCGACCTAGTGCTCTATCCTACACGAGTGCCTGCTTCTCTGTGTGCACGCACCCGCTTGTGGACACGCACACGCACACACACACACACTCAATTGTGGACACACACCCCCCCCCCCCCCCCCCCAGAAAAGCCTCAGTGGCAGTCTCTCCACAGGCTGACAGCTGTGTGTCTATTGAGGAAAAGACAAACGTCAGCCATTCAGCTCAGAAATGCACGGCGAGTCCCCTATGCGGCAGCAGCGAGATTGCTCCCCGGGTCAGCCCATTTAAGAGAATCAGCCAGGGATGGGGCTTTCAGTTTTTATAGGCCGAATGTGCCGGACACAATTCTCATAAAGCAGATGGGTAATGACTAGTTGTTCTCAGGGATGGTATCAAAGGTTACACACGTGTTCAGGGACTGTTAAATAAGATCTAGGTTAGTGGCAACGATCCTCCCGGCCCTGCTCATGTCCCTCTTCCCAAACTCCCTCCTCTCCCAAATTTGAAGTTTAATTTGCCTTGATTAAGAGCAATTATAATGTATTGCTGTGCTTAAAGCGAAATAGCGCAGAGACCGTGGACCAAAATAATGGGAGAGCAGAGAGGCGCGCTGCCTCCCGTCAGAATCTTAATGTGCTTAATGGGCCCTAGGGGAGAACATGGTGTGCCCGGAGACTTATTCGGGCAGTGAGCATTGTGATCAGCATGGGTCAGGGGCTCTGTCCTCCTGTGATATATCCACCATCTTGTTTCCTCTCACTTGGCCAGGGTCCAATCTACACCCTCTTTCTGGTTCACGCCCGCTTCCTATCCTCCTGCATAGAAGTTATCTATTATGTTTCCTATGTCTACAAACCTGTTTTCGCTTTGTCATTATGGGGTGTTGTGTGTAGATTTATGAGAATATTTAGGAAAAAATATCAATTTTAGAATAAGGCTGTAACGTAACAAAATGTGGAAAAAGTCAAGGGGTCTGAATACTTTCCGAATGCACTGTATGTTTTACCTCCTAGGCCTTATCCATTTCATCAGTCACCTGTGTCGACTATCACTCTTAACTACCCTGTGGTGAGACTACACCAAACCCTACCATTCTTCAACTTCTAAATACTCCTACCTTAACCTTTATCTACCTACACTATACTATCGTTCGTCGCTGTCCCCTGGTTATATGCAACCTCCTCTCTTCACAGTATTGCTCCTGCTAAAAGCCGCTGTTTCGGATTGCCCTTAGACACTGATCTAAGATAACGCTAATCGTAACCTGAACCATTAGGCCAAACTACAATCTAGAACTCCGATCAGTGTCTAGGGGCAACTTCATCCTATAGCATCATATAACCCCATCAGCAGCCATTTTCTCTTCCCAGTCCTCCTCTCACCACCTTCTCCTTTGTCTTGTCAGGTCATCGTCATGAGCGCCACGCTGGATGCCGGCAAGTTCCAGGTGTACTTTGACAGCTGTCCGCTGCTGACCATCCCGGGACGCACGCACCCGGTAGAGATCTTCTACACGCCGGAACCCGAGAGGGACTATCTGGAGGCAGCCATCCGCACCGTTATCCAGATCCACATGTGTGAAGAGGAGGAGGGCGACTGTCTGCTCTTCCTCACTGGACAAGAGGTAGGCCCTTTTCTGCCACCATTACAGCTTTTCACACGCGCACACACGATCGAGATGATCAATGCTTAGATTAATAGAGATATTGAATGCATGTGGCCTCGCCTGTTTGGAACCTACCCTGGTAAGAGGGAAAAAAAGACAGTGCCCCAGATTTAGCCTTCCCCATGAATCCCTGACATTAAGTAATTTATAATTTTTTCACTCCTCCAAATGTTGTCCACTGATGTGTAATGGAGGGTCAGGTTCATGCCCATAATGATGAATTTGGTCACAGCTGGGAGGGCACACACCTGCCTGCCTTCCCCCAGAAACGTCTGTCTGCCTCCCAGGTCACGAGTGGGAGAGGCAGCCTGTCTCAGGGCTCAGCAGAGCTGCAGCGCCACACTGTTATTCTCACCATTCTCTCCCTACGTAATGTAACAGTTTGTGTAGCTTATGGTTGGGACATGAGAACTAAGTGAGGTTTGTATGAATGCAACCCTAGACTGAGATTAAAGGGATACTTCGAAATTTTGGCAAGGACACTTTATCTACTTCCTCAGAGTCAGATTAGCTAGTGGATACCAATTGTATGTCTCTGCGTCCAGAATGAAGGAAGTTATAGGTAGTTTTAGCAATAGCGCAATGACTGGAAGTCTATGGGAACAGTTAGCAATTGCGCTAACGCTAGCTAGCAACTTCCTTCAAACTGCACACAGAGACATAAAAATGGTATCCACGAGTTCATCTGACTCTGGGGAAGTAGGCTAGATAAAGGGCTGCATTGCCAAAATCTCGAAGTATCCTTTTAAGACCGAGCGTGACTGTTAATGTGCCTGGAGCTTCTCATTTTGAATGTATGGATTCCCTCACGTTGGCGCGGCGTCACCATCCAGCGTAGCCATCTTTCAAAAAAATTAAACATATATTTAGCTGAGTGCCCACCCAGTCGGATAATGTGACAGCCTATTCATTAACGGCAGTCATTTGTCATTCATTGGCGGGCTGGGACTGCACTACCGCGCACCTACATCCGTTTTCATTGGCAGATGCCGATTCGATGCCTGGTTCGTTAGGGAAGGGATGAAGTCACGGAGGAGCATTGTATTTGAAGTGGTATCAATTGAGGGGCTGGTAATTGATTTTAGATTTAGTGGTGTTCCAGCCACTCGGACAGCCAGGGAACAGCATTGGCCTCCCCTATTTGAATGTGCAGAGGAGAAGCGAAGCTTTGCGGGAAATTCGTTAAACATTGTTTAGAGGTGGACGACGTCTTTTGATGAGTATCCACCCCCCTTCACACCTCCCCCAGCTCAATAACGCTGAATGCGTTGGGGTGTCAAGCTGCCGAGGCAAAGCAAGCAGTGCAGTCAGAGAGCACACCCACGGCGAGTTCATTAACACTCTCCTAATTAGGTTAAAGAAGTTAATGTGAGGTAGCTCTGGAGGAGATGGGTGTTCAAAGGGTGCCCCCCGGAGTGCATCTTAACCTCTCGTCTCCCCGCAACTTTGATGTTGACTAATGATCGGGGACGCAGATCCGTCTTTGAGGTAAAGCTGTTTTCATTTATGACAAATGAAAAGCGAAGGGGGCGGGATTCTTTCCCGCCCTCCCTCCCTCCATGTATTTGGGGGATATTGTCCCTGCCGCGAACCATTTAAAACAGACAAACTCAAACTCCCCAAAAAAGAGAGGCAAAACTTATCACAGCTGCCTCGCCCTGATAAGTCTCACCATTTAAGCTGCCCCCTCAGCGGTTCACTTCAAAACATAAAGATTCGCCCGGGCCTCGGTTAATTAAGTGGACCGAGGCGAGTGCCTAATTGAGTCTGGTTAGGTGCCTGGTGCTCCACCGTATCTCTCCTAGGGTCGCTGTGCACGCGCTCCATTTCTCTTCAGGCACTGGCACACCAGCTCAATCCCAGCGCCTTGGCAACGGTGTCCACTTTTCATGACAGCTGCTGCATCCAGAGGGTTGATGGTCTATTAATACGTAGGCTAATTTTATCAATCTATTCATTACACTTTCCCACTATAACTTGTCAATGTGTTGATTACATGGCTATCGGTGGGATGGATTTGACTTGTGTAGTGGGTGAACACAGCAGGGAAAGATTGGTCTAGGAATGCATTACTGTCTGCATACAAAGTCCACAAACACACAGAGAAATCCTAGCCGAGGTTGCCTATGTTTTTGTGATTTATTAAATCAGGGCAAAGCCTTGCCAATTCTTAGGAGAGCATATTTTCTACTGGGTAGCTCTAGGTTGCAGTCAGTGTCACATTGTGGCCTTGGTATGACTATCAAAAACGGTTCCCATAATTTCAGAATACACCAAGGCTATACCCCTTTCTGCCCCAGCCCCCTTCTCCTTCGCACTCCAATAAAACATTTATTTGAATCTGTAAGTGCAAATTGTCACGTGACCCCCAACCAACCTATAGAAGGTGCTGCACAGCTCCGTAGGGCCTGAAGGTGGAGCAACAGCACAGGCTGTGGCCGTTTACATATTGGTGTATTTGTTTAAAGGGAAGATTGCAGAGTTAGGTTTCTGTTAAACATTCTGATTGGTTTCATCCTTCCAACTAAATGTCCCAATACTACATATTACTTTGTATTTTTGGAAAAATTTATATTTTATCTGAATTTGACCGAAGTCATGTCGGAAAAGCGTTTCGGAAAAGTGATGTCAAGAGAAGAACACACAACAGGAGTGAAGCCACTGTCAACATAAGACGGTAAAGACCCACATCATACCAAGTCCTCATTGTTTTAGATAAAATATTTTGGCACTCTGAATAAAGCCAACTTATCATCTGACCATATCCTGTGATTTTCTTTATTCTATATCAGATAAAGATGTTATTTTATCACTTTTACAGCACGCAAGCTTTTAGCATAGCCCTTTTTACACCCCTATTAGCTAGCTATTAGCATTTATACATTTACATTTGAGTCATTTAGCAGATGTTCTTATCCAGAGCGACTTACAGTTAGTGAGTGCATACATTTTCATACTGGCCCCCCGTGGGAAACGAACCCACAACCCTGGCATTGCAAGCACCATGCTCTACCAACTGAGCTACAGGGGACTACAGCAGCCTTGAAACATCACATTGCATTCGGAAAGTATTCAGTACATTTGCAAAGTGCATTCGGAAAGTATTCAGACCCCTTCACTTTTTCCACATTTTGTTACGTTACAGCCTTATTCTAAAATGGATTAAATAAAACATTTTCCTCATCAATCTACACACAATACCCCATACTGACAAAGCATAAATAGGTTTTTAGACATTTTAGCACATTTATTACAAATAAAAAACAAATACCTTATTTACTTAAGTATTCAGACCCTTTGCTATGAGACTCAAAATTGAGCTCAGGTGGATCCTGTTTCCATTGATCATTCTTGAGATGTTTCTACAACTTGATTGGAGTCCACCTGTGGTAAATTCAATTGATTGGACACGATTTAGGAAGGCACACACCTGTCTATATAAGGTCCCACAGTTGACTGCATGTCAGAGCAAAAACCAAGCTGTGAGGTTGAAGGAATTGTCCGTCGAGCTCTGAGACAGGATTGTGTCGGCACAGATCTGGGGAAGGGTACCAAAAAGCATTGAAAGTCCCCATGAACAGTGGCCTCCATCCTTCTTAAATGGAAGAAGTTTGGAACCACCAAGACTCTTCCTAGAGCTGGCCGCCCTGCCAAACTGAGCAATCGGGGGAGAAGGGCCTTGGTCAGGGAGGTGACCAAGAACCCGATGGTCACTCTGCTCCAGAGTTCCTCTGTGGAGATGGGAGAACCTTCCAGAAGGACAACCATCTCTGAAGCACTCCACCAATCAGGCCTTTATGGTAGAGTGGCCAGACTAATCAGGATCGAGGGAAAGATTAACAGAGCAAAGTACAGAGAGATCCTTGATGAAAACCTGCTCAGGACCTCAGACTGCGCGAAGGTTCACCTTCCAACAGGACAACGACCCTAAGCACACAGCCAAGACAACGCAGGAGTGGCTTCGGGACAAGTCTCTGAATGTCCTTGAGTGGCCCAGCCAGAGCCCGGACTTGAACCTGATCGAACATCTCTGTAGAGACCTGAAAATAGCTTTGCAGCGACACTCCCCATCCAACCTGACAGAGCTTGAGAGGATCTGCAGAGAAGAATGGGAGAAACTCCCCTAATACAGGTGTGCCAAGCTTGTAGCGTCATACCGAAGAAGACTTGAGGCTGTAATCGCTGCCAAAGGTGCTTCAACAAAGTACTGAGTAAAGGGTCTGAATACTTACGTGAATGTGATATTTCAGTTTTTATTTTATAAATGTGCAAAAATGTCTAAACCTGCTTTTTGCTTTGTCATTATGGGGTATTGTGTGTAGATAATAATTTTAGAATAACAAAATGTGAAAGAAGTGAAGGGGTCTGAATACTTTCTGAATGCACTGTATTAGCAGTTCAGGACATCAGCATTTCTTGTACTGTTACACAAAATCAAAATAAACCTTTAGCCAAACTGGCTAAAACTCTGTTGTTGGCTGACGGTAGCTATAGCTAGCCACATGCTAACCTGAGTTCTAACGTTACTAGCAGTAGTAACATTAAATCCAGGTATATTGGCTAACACAAACATTGGCCACCATGATATCCTGCAAGATGGTATGAAAATGTATGCACTCACTAACTGTAAGTCGCTCTGGATAAGAGCGTCTGCTAAATGACTTAATTGTAAATATATTGGCCAATAAAGATCAGGTAGTTCAGCAAAAATAAAGACATACCTTGAAATAAACAATTGCATTAATCAAGTGTTTCCCAATCTCGGTCCTCGGGACCCCAAGGGGTGCACGTTTTGGTTTTTGCCCTAACAATACACAGCTGATTCAAATAATGAAAGCTTGATGATTAGTTAATTATTTGAATCAGCTGTGTAGTGCTAGGGCAAAAAACGAAACGTGCACCCCTTGGGATCCAGAGGATGGAGTTTGGGAAACACTGATTAATCCGATTGGTATTTGACCATTCATTTCTGCAAAACGTGCGGTGTTGTAGCTTGCTTGTAGCTTATTCCATCTCCAAACACCATGCTAGATCGGAGTGGGCCAGTTTGTTTTGCATGGCCCGGTGCAGTTAGATAACTGGCTTTGTTTTTTATAAGCTACTAGCAACATAACATGACAAAACTCTTTGGGCACTTTGTACCTACTTTCCCCGATTCGCTCCTATCATCGAAGCCACCAGCAGGGTGTTCCTCTCTTGACGTCAAAGGCGCAATGTATTGTTGGTATGAGTTTTTCATAAATGTAATTCAAATTGCGAAAATAGAAGTGTATAATTGTTTATTTTTTTATAAACTTTTGCATAAAGACCGTTTAGCTGGAATATAATCAATCTACGTTGTTAGATTTGTGGAATATATATATATATATATATATCGTGCAACCTTTCCTTTAAGTATGACATGAAAATGGACTTAATCAGGCAGTGGCTATCACTTCAGTACCTTTTCTGGTCTTTTCATAGCTAACATTGTCCAATGTCTGGAGATGGGGGGATAAAACAAGCGTGGTCATTTAGCATAGACGTTCTAGGAATTATAGACACTTATCAGGCTATATAGTATTATGGAGGCTATATATACGCTTGTCACTTAGGGTTCTTGTGGACATGGTCGATTGCAAAGTAATTGTCTTAATTATACATGGGCCGTTTACCGAGTTGATATGTTGCATTTGCTAACGTCACATTATGGCAGTCTTTACCGTGTTGGTTTATTATATTCAGGCTGGCTAGTTCAGTCGGAGTCCTAGCCTTTTGTCTTCTGTCATGTTTTCTTATTCCCCTGGTTGTTAAGGTTCTCTGTCTGGGAGCCCACTGGCTTTATAATGTTCAGCTCCACTAAACTGATCTGCCATGATTTGCCGCTGGTTATGCATCAGTGCAGCATTCTCATTTCACATTTCCCCTACAATATTGCGGTATTGAATAATGAACTGTGTATGTGTGTGTCTGTGTTCTCCTGATTGCTGCATTTGACAACACAGCCATGGGGAGCTCACCCAAGCACGCGGCAGTCCAGGTTTAATTTCCTCAGTCAGATGGGGAGAACAAATGTACTGTGGTGGGAACCTCCATCCCTGGCCCCCTTCTCCTTCTAACCCCTCCTCTCCTCTTCAGACCTTTTTCTCCCCATTGTCTCTCAAGGTGTTATTCAAACCAAGCCCCAGGTTACTGTGTGCCCAAATGCTTGCTCCTCGACAGCCGCACATCACCTGCCTGCCTATTTACTGTTTCCACTTCTTCTTTCAGGAAATCGACGACGCCTGCAAGCGCATCAAGAGGGAAATTGATGACCTGGGACCCGACGCGGGGGACATCAAAATCATCCCGCTGTACTCGACGCTGCCGCCCCAGCAGCAGCAGAGGATCTTTGAGTCGCCACCACCCCACAAGCCCAATGGAGCCATCGGGAGGAAGGTAAACGCCACTCAGATCACTCCTCAGCAGCACAGGGCATCCCAGCAACTCAATATCTCCCTTCCAGAGAGGGAGAGAGTGAAAGCGAGAGGGCTAAAGAAAGCAAGTAATGGACAGCGGCAGAGAGACTAGACAGGGAAGTAGGTGGGTGGATATGGAGTGGGAGGGGGGTTAGAAAAAGTGTTTTCCCGCTTCAGCTTTGGTGCAGGACTGACTCACACAACATATGCTGCTTTTGTCAGCATATGATTCCCTGCTCTAAAATATAACTGGGGTATTACTCACTCCCTGCTGGCCTAAGGAAAGCACTGGAGCCGCAGTCTTTTAATCTCTTGCACTCCTCTATTGGTTTTGCACAGCCTCTCTCAGAGAACAGAGGCAACAATCATCTGGTCTTCTCAGTGCCAGGGAAAGGAAGCATGCATTACAGGAACTTTGCTCATCTACAATAGAATGTGTGAACATTCCTCTCTTCTTGTTCCCTTGTCCTTAACTGGTCCCACAGAGCAATGTACGGCCCTTCGTCTTCATGTTCCATTATTAATACGGACCGCAAACCTGTCCAGTGTTTTGTTTATGGCTCGGCATTCAAACGGGCGCACTATAATCACAGCAGTGAAACCACCTGGACGGCCACGCTGTTGGCAAGGAATCTGATGGAATATCAAAACCCTGTCACACCGCCATTAATTTGCAAACATTTGCCCCAACATCTGATGGGTATTTGATGAATGACTCATCGTCCTGTGCCTCCCCAATCGAGGCTGATTTGGCTGTCATTGGAGCCCCGAAAGATTATTGATGACTTATTTGGAATAATGAAGTCACAGCCTGAGAATTTATATATATATATATATAGTACCAGTCAAAAGTTTGGACAGACCTATGCATTCAAGGGCTTTTCTTAATTTTTTACTATTTTCTACATTGTAGAATAATAGTGAAGACATCAGAACTATGAAATAACACATATGGAATCATGTAGTAAACAAATCAAAATATATTTTATATTTGAGATTCTTCAAATAGCCATCAGATGACCTGGCCTCCACAATCCCCCGACCTCAACCCAATTGAGATGGTTTGGGATGAGTTGGACCGCAGAGTGAAGGAAAAGCAGCCAACAAGTGCTCAGCATATGTGGGAACTCCTTCAAGACTGTTGGAAAAGCATTCCAGGTGAAACTGGTTGAGAGAATGCCAAGAGTGTGCAAAGATGTCATCAAGGCAAAGGGTGGCTACTTTGAAGAATCTCAAATATAAAATATATTTTGATTTGTTTAACACCTTTTTGGTTACTACATGATTCCATAAGTGTTATTTCATAGTTCTGATGTCTTTACTATTATTCTACAATGTAGAAAATAGTAAAAATAAAGAATCGACAATAAAGTTAATTTGTTTTGAAGAAATCTAAAAGTCTCTCCTTTGATTAGAATAATTACCACGACAATATATGTATGGGTGGTCCTCTGGAGCTCAATTGGTAGAGCATGGCGCTTGTAACGCCAGGGTAGTGGGTTGGATCCCCGGGACCACCCATACGTAAAAATGTATGCACACATGACTGTAAGTCGCTTTGGATAAAAGCGTCTGCTAAATGGCATATTATTATAATTGTGTGTTTTTTTTATTTTTTACATAGTCATTCACAATTGGAAACGCCAAGTCTAGGCAGGCTGCTGTCATCACGTTCCTTTCTACCGCTGCGGTTTGATCCACAGAATTTTGACAGGCCCCCCCTTTTCCTGTTGTTCAAGACGAGTCGGATGAAACTCTTGCTCCGGCCTCCCTCGCTCACCCTCCGGTGTGACATTATTTAATCTCTCCTCCTCTACTGTGTGTGTGTGTGTGTGTGTGTGTGTAAAGGAGGCTCAACAGTTTGGCCTAAGCCAGGGCCTGGGATCTTTCCAAAGTTCAAACATCATCCCTGTGTTTGCTCGCGCTGTTCAAAGGGATGTTGACATGAAAGAGGGACACGGGTAGCACAAGGAGCGGTTTGGATGCCAACTGGTCCCAGGAGACGCCACCTCCACATCTTGGTAGATTGGGATGGGGTGTTTTGGGTGGTTGGGAGGACTGGTAAGTGGCTGTAAATGTGCATTAAACAATTCTTTGAACACTGGACCTCTTCCCAACATTCACGCTCAGCAGTGCCAGACTCCTCCCTGGTGATTACAGACTGTGTCTCAACAGCATGCTACCTCTCAGGTAGTCTTTTTATCTTGTCCCCCTATCTGGCCTGAAGAGAGTGTCACATGGAGGTGAGCTGGAGGTGTCCGTGTTGAAGCTTACATTGCAACCAGGGAGAGTGAGGCTAGAATGACCATGTTGGTCACAATGATCATTGAACCACATATGACTTGCCTTCACTCAATGGCCAGGTTGATGAATACCATCAATTCTGGTCTCTCACTAAGCTGAATTGGTCAAGGGTCTTGTATGTAGCAGTGGCAGCCAATGGCATTTGTCTTGAATAGAAAAAAGCATGCACAGAGTGAGTTTGGCCTTCTGTTGTCAGTCTGACGCCGTCAGTGGCTGAACCTGAGGTGAGGCGAGATGTCACCCAAGCAAGTCCAAGGAGAGGCAATGAAAGAATTAAGGCTATCGGCACCTGCTGTCCCGCATGAAAATAGCTGCATTATGCACTCCCCCTCATTAACATAACTTGCTTGCCCGTCATGTCTCCCCAGAAAAGCCACTGATCTCCCATTTTAGAACATTTTAATGATTTAGTGTTGGAGCTTCAATTCATTATGATTACTAGCAAAGACTTTAATCCCCCCTCTCCCTTCCAAAGTATCATCGTTATGCGCTTTTGACAAATGCGATCTTGTTTAGCGCTAGGTTTGTTTTCTATCATCCTCACGTGTGCATATCCCCTCAAGTCGGCGACCCACGCCGGCTGGGATCCATTCCAGTAAGTCGCTGATGTGGCAGGGCCCAAATTGTTCGAGGCGCCCTCCATTTTTACCTATCAAGGGAAGGTTTTATTTTTCAACAGGCAGCTCCTCCCAGAGGGTTGGAGTGAAAGATGGCCCCTGTTAGCCACAGTGCTCACCCCCTGCAGGTTAATAACCCAGAAATAATACGCAGAGATGATGCTCTAATGATATTACTGATGAAAAGTCTGGAACGCTCAATACAGCTGACAGACAGACAGACAGGAAGGAGCCGCACTGCGCTCCTCTGTGTAATGCATTCTGAATCAATGCAGTCAATGAGAGGCCCTCCTATATTGTTATGAAATGTGAGGAGGCAGGCTAGCTACCGTGGCAGCTGCTAAAGCACTGACTGACTCTTTCCTGACATACAGGTAATTGTCCTGAACTGGTAGGAGTCATCCCATTGAACCTTTCACAGCTCCCTTTGAACAGGACATGAGTTGCTCCTTGCCACACGTTCCTCTTGGGGGAAATGTTGGCCGACATTGTTTTTCTGAGATGATGGCCCAACCTGCCGGTCCGTGCTAGGCTAGCCAACTTTGTTGAAGATTGCTTGTCGGCTGGGTCATTGACTCAAAGAAGATGCACTTTCTCCACACCTACGGGTCACTGAGTGTTGCTGAGCGTTCTTAATGTCTTGAATGCTTTGCCAAGCAATTGGCTTTGGTTTAATTCCAGTGTTGCTCTAGTTGTCGGCATTCAAATTTGTATTAAAAGGTGGTTGATTCTCTTAGTTCAAAGAGATCCCCTCAGACGTATTGTGAAGTGATACCTGCCACCGTTGATTCTTGCAATGTACCTCTAGTGTTCAATCAGATCAAGATGTACATCCCTCCCGAGGGGGAGGTGTAAACTAATCGAAGTGACCGTTGGCTTGGCCAGGCTGCCTTCTGACAGGTTTAAAATGGGCCGTCTTTGGCTGCTGCCTCGCTCCTCAGCATGAATACAAAGCAGAATGCTTCCACTTCTGACGGCAGAATTACACAAGGCCAAGGGCTGGGCCCCCAAAGAATGTCCAAGGCATTAATAACTAAACAGTCAGGCGTTCTCTGGCTGGAGAGAAATCCTCGCGTTAAAGGTAGGATTTTGAAAATCCTTTGAGGCGCACTGCTTTAGACAACCAAAAGAAATGGAGCTACGCAAGATTGATGGAAAGTGCTCAATCTGTTTTGCACCCGCATCGATGGATGATAACTCACAAAGTATTTTTGCACCGGCAAATGTTTGATCAAGAGATGTGAAAGCATTACCGAAGTGAATTCGCATATAAGCCACATGTACACTAACAAATTAAGTACGTGATTGGCAGACTTGTTATAGGAAAGTGATGCTGTCTTTTTCCTTGGGAGAATGTTTCTCACGCCTATCCATCACAAGGAAGTGTCTGTTCAATGCTTTTGCAGATTTCATTCAAATTGCTAACTTTCATTATTAGCATTTTTCCTGTGCTTGCAGTTGAACTGGTCTTACTTTTCTATATGAAAGAAGGGACAGTGCACATAATATGCAATGAGGCAATTTTATTAACATTATGCTGAGACATTGGAGTGGAAGTTCCCAGTACAGCAAGTTTCTGCTTGTCTGACTCAGTCTCCAGTGCCATGGTTCACAACGTAGTTCGAAGGGTTCTGGGGCCAATCAGGCTCCGCCGTTACATAACGGGAACACCCCCAAGCGGTGGTCAAGGCTCGCGTGAGAGCAGCTGCAGATCTGCCTTCCTCCCCTCCTCTTCTGTTTGTGTAAACGTTGACAGAGAGACCCATAGGGTGATGTGACTCATTTGATTTCGGTGCTCCGATTCAGCTGTCATTGCTCATAGACAGATTTGCTATAGGGGATAATTGTAATAGAAAAATATCTGGGACTGGGAGATGTGCGACTCCACAGCAGCTTCCCCGTTTGCGTTGCTCCCGCAACCCAAATGGCTTTTCGTTTCAGTTTTTTCTCTACCTTCTCTCCCCTCCCTTACGCTGTATTTGTCTGCGCCCTATTACATTTTAGGGAAAATAAATGTTGCAGCCGGCCCTGATGCTTTAATCAACCGACGGACCCTTCTGACAGCTGAGTTTTTTCTTCTTCTTCCTGGTCTCCCCTTTGCTTTTTATAAGTATTACTGTGTGTTGCTCGGATTAATGTCTCTTAAAGAAACCCAGCCGTAATGTTTCCAACATTGTACTCGGAAATGCGGAATCATTGGAAAAGAAAACCCCTCCTTGGCTTTGAAGCAATTGAAAACAAATCTCTGTTCTCATCACCTGCTTTAGTTTAGAGCCTCATTTTGCCGTGACTAATTTTTTGTGACTCTAAATATAATTGCCGCAATCCTCCAAGCGTATTAATTTTAATGCAACTTCGCTCCTATTTCGAGGTGGGTTTGGAGCACCTCTCTGATTGTCGGAGTGAGTGATTTTAATTTGGTGGGCGCTCTCATGCTGCTACACGACGCCTGCACCTTGGGGCGCAGGAAACATCCGCGTGTTGCTTTGTTTGTTGAAGGCGACAGGCTCCATTACTCAGAAGCAAGTCAGAATTTGATTTCCTTTCATTTTTTTACCCCAACTTTCATTTTCATCTAAAACAAATTCCTCCAGTCTTGTCAAACTATAATCTCGGAGGATGAATGTCAACGTACACAGTGATTCTGAAAGAACTGCATTTTTAAATGCATGCCACTCGCTGGAAAAGGAACTATTACATCAATTATTTGTTGTAATTTTGAAGACCTGTGGGAGGGGCTTTTTGTAAGAGAGAGGATGACATCTCGTGGAGATGGGTAGCGTACTGCGAGCTGACAGCGGTACCCCCTCCAAAAAGAGCAGTGGTAATGCATGTGGAAGGGACACTCAGCGGCGAGGCAGCCCGCCGCAGTTTGCAGACGCCTCATTCGACTTGATTGCAACAACTGTTTCAGTACTCCCCTGTTGGATCCTATTAGACAGTGTGTCTGCGATTTGGCCATGGAAGTGTCTGCAGAACTTAATTCATTCAGATGTTGCAGCGTGCCCGCTGTAGAAATGTAGTGTTTAGTGACTTGAGTGTTGAGCAGTGTCTCCACTAAAGGGTGATTTGTATGGGGCCATTTTTCCTTTTATTAAAACATTTGCTCTCTCGCGCAGTCTCTCCAAGATATTTCGACCTCCCCAAATGGCAGTGGTTTTTGACCTATGACCTAATAATTTCCCTCTCAGATTCAACACCTTATGACTCTGTGTCAAAATTGAGAATTCATTAATATGTGAATAACTGAATTATTAAACAATAAAATGACCAAATACCGGAGTGAGTGATTGAATAGTGCCATTCCATTGCAGGGCCTCAACCCATGTTACTCTCCCTCTCCCACAACCCCTCCCTAACAACTGACTCTAAACCCAGCTGTGATAATTTCCGCAGGTCGTGGTTTCAACAAACATCGCCGAGACATCCCTGACCATCGACGGCGTGGTGTTTGTAATTGATCCCGGATTTGCCAAGCAAAAGGTTTGCCACCGTCCCTCCTCCCCTGCATCACCCCCCCATCCACCCCCCCAACCTAATCTCCTCCGCTCATCTGCCTCTGTTGCCTGAAAATCCCCAGATAAACAGAGCAGCACTGCACCTGACAGCGGCAGAGATGGAAAAGCCAGTTATTTATTCCTCTGACATTTCTCTAGCCCGGAGCCAAGTCATACACGTGGCTCAATCAGAGATGATATATTTGCCCGGGCGGATTGTGTGTGGGTGCTTGTGTGTGCTTGTGTGTGCACGTGTGTTTGTGCTTGTGTGTGTGTGTGTGCATATGTGATTTGGGATTATGTGTGTTAGTGTCTCGTGTGTGTGAAACTCAATTTCCCACTGTAACCTGCACATAAACACTGGTCTATTTCTCAACCATGATGCCCCCTATGCCTCATCCCTTTTCTAAATGTTTGTGTACCTATGTTTGTATGTGAAGGAGTGATTTGAATCCTCTCAATACCTCACCTGTCCACCTTGCTGTTCCTTCCAGGTGTATAACCCTCGTATCAGAGTGGAGTCCCTCCTGGTGACGGCTATCAGCAAAGCATCGGCCCAGCAGAGGGCGGGGCGCGCCGGGAGGACACGCCCAGGGAAGTGCTTCCGCCTCTACACAGAGAAGGCCTACAAGACCGAGATGCAGGTTAGTAGTGTCACTGCCATAAGAATTATATTAGTCCCAGATGAATTGTTGTGTATATAACTGATTGATTATTTAAAGCTGCATAGGAATGCTAATGTCCCAAGGTTGAGACATAGCTACGTCTTACATTATTTCCAGAGAGTGTACAGAGCATCGTCGTTCATTGCTTACTTGTATCCGTGATTCTTATAAGTGTAGTGCACTCGTACCTATACAGAGAAAAAGCATATGAGGCTTAATTGTACCTCTATACAGAAAATAAATATTTCAATTTCCCAATATTCCCACCTAGAACCCAAGTCGCCTATTCCTTATTCAGTCCTTTTCACTCTGACAGCTGGATTCCCCACCAATCACCCACAGCCCTTTTTAATAACTTGCGCCAGTGACACAGACCCCCCCTGTGACAAATGAACACGTGAAGGACCCAGTCCTCCACTTTAACAGGGTAATTATTTCACGTCACACCGACTGGCAGAGGGGAATTTTAAAACAAGTTAAATAGCCCTTCAAACAGCCCCAGACTTCCATTTTCTGTTCACTTTGACGTACGAGTCCGTGTGAAGAGATAATCGGCACCCTTACTACTTTTTTTGATTTGAAATCCTCTCCTCCGGTTTCCCCTCCCCTTCTTCTGTAACAGGACAACACGTATCCAGAGATTTTGAGGTCCAACCTGGGTTCGGTCGTGCTGCAGCTCAAGAAGCTAGGTATCGACGACTTGGTACATTTCGACTTCATGGACCCACCAGGTAAGAGCTCTTGTATTGCATTTTGACAAAAGGGATAGAGCTTATTTTTGTGTTAATATCTTGTTTTTGTGTTAATAGGGGCCCTATTCAGTCAATCTCAGCTAAATTAACATTCTTTCTGCGCAGTGTGTGTGTATACATAGTGTGATTGTATATGCTGTTGAATTTTTCTTTGTTTCACAGTGTAAATCACAAAGCCAAACATTAATTTTTTTCACTAAAAAGAGATGAATGTTCTTGCTTTATCCTGGAAACCCAGTTTACGGAGATTGATTGAATAGGGCCCCAAGTTGTAAAGTTTGGGCTTTGATAGATAACATCATGGTGAATTTCTGTCTCACTTTGGTCACAGAATCATCTGTTAAGGGCTAATGAACAGACATGGACCGGTATAAACTGTTGCTCTCAGGTCCACAAAACCTTTTTATTTAACTGAAAATGTTTGATGTATGACATCCAATCTGGGTCAGCTATGAGCTTAGAAAAAGAAAATGTGGAAAAATCACATTCAAAAGTAATTGTGCTGTCTTGGAAGTTGTGGTTCTTTGCTCCTTTGCCAGAATAGGTGGTTAAACTGCACTGTCAAAACAAGTCTGTTTCTATCCGCTCTGGGGGAACATGGTGTAGTGACTAGGGGGGAATAGTTTGGCTGGTCAGTCGATGTGTGTTGGGACTGTCGCTTCTCCAGGCGCTTCCTATTCCCCCTGTTCATCTGCACTGGGCTGGAGCCTGGCCAAAACACACAGAGGTGCCTTGTCTTGTCCCAATGTCACTTACTTCCCTTACCAGCAGCCCTGGAGCCAACACACCATGTGTGGGTTCTTACCCCCCTCCCTCGGTCTCTCTGTCCATAGCCTTAACCCCACACACACACTTCCCCCGTCTCTCCACCTTAATACAGTTTCCATCTCCGAGATTAAACCCATCTCTCCCCGTCCACGGCGCCAAACACCATTTTGAGAATGAAATTGGTTACATCAATAGCCCCGGTATCACCTTGGCTATTGCCTTCTCTTTATATTCCGCGGGTGAAATGTGACTGACCTATTCCCCCTACCTCCGCCACCCACCCCTCTCAGTTCTCTCCCACCACTATACGTCTCCCAGCACTTAAGGGTTAGCCCCCCGCCTGGTCCACTCAAGCCTTGTCCATTTAGTCTAACTGGGAATGAGGGGAAGGAATGATTACCTTATTCATCTACTTAGAAAAAAAGGATGCCCCTGGAAGTTCTACACGCTGTCAGTGGAGGCGCTGGGTTCGTCTAACTAGCTGCTTAGCGCCCCGGGAACACGAGGTGTTTGGACTAGAAAGATGAATAGCCGGAGTATGCTGTGCCCTCGCTCCAACGCACTTCAAAGGTTCTCCAAGAAAAGCCTTTGTATCTCGCCGGCGCCCTGGTCAATTTGACATGCGGTGCAGAAGAACCACTCCCAGAATGGCTACGCCAGAGTTGTGGGTTCAGCCAAGTGAATCCTGGACCTGGTTAAAGAGAGCCATGGAATTGGATCTCCAGGTAGAGAAGCATGACTGGAACATGTTTTGCTCCATAGCCCAGCGTTTCCCAAACTAGGGGTCACGACCCCATGTGGGGTCGCCTGATTTGAAAATGGGGTCGCGAGAGAAACTCTGAAATACTGGCCAAATGCTCTAACCGCTAGGCTACCTGCCCCAATTAAAAAAGTAAATATTGGCCGTTGATTACATTTTTTGTTGTTTTCTACATGGTGGGGTCGCAACATTTTATTTTGGATCAAAATGGGGTCGCGGACCAAAAAAGTTTGTGAACCCCTGCCTTAGCCATGTTAAAATACCTCACACTACCTGGCGCCGACGAAGATGGTGGCCTCGCGACTAGCTCTTAGGAAACTTAGCAGTATTTCGTTTTTTTATGTATTATTTTTTACATTATTAGCTCAAAGTGTTTTGTATAGATGTTGTGAAATTGTTAGATATTACTGCACTGTCGGAGCTAGAAGCACAAGCATTTCGCTACACCCGCAATAACATCTGCTAAACACGTGCATGTGACAAATAATTTGTGATTTGATTTGGATTGTCCGGGTGTCCGCTTCAGTAGGAGACATGGGAACACACACACCGTCTGACTGATGATGAGGCCACACAACCCAATGAATAAAATGTCAGCTCCTCAAAGGGCTTGAGAGATGGAATGCTTCCTTGAGATGATTGAAAACCTCTGCTGCTTGATGATGGTGGGGGGGATGCTTCCCATCAGCCATTTGTTTTCATTTATCATTTGGGCACATTAAAAGGATTTAATCATGACTTGGGTTTGTGCTGCTGTCATTAAGGCAAGTGGGGACATTGTCATTGAGCTGCTGCTCTCCTCTGTGGCTGTATGCAATGAAAAGGTACAGGCAGAGTGATACCTCGGAGTGGGCTAGGATTGGATGGGTCCATATATTTAAGGTTAACCAAAGAACCCAGGCATGGAGGCCATTGGCTTTTAGTCTGTGTTGCATTCAAGTTGGGCCTGAATCTTAATGGAGAAATTCGATTTCCACCCTGTAACCAGGGATCACATGAGCGGCCAGTCTATTTCTCTGTTGACCTGCCTCGCTCCACGCTCAGTAAGCACAGTGGCAGTGGGGTGAAGCGGCTCACTAAATCACATGGAAAATCCAAGAGAAATCAGTAGCGATTTACAGGAAGGACCAGCCTTAGGTGGGATTCATTTGCCTTTTGACATTTGCAGAGTAGTACATTTCAAAGCCAATGTGAGTTTAATGTACCTTTTTAGCCTTTAATCCCATTGATTTGGCCCTTGGTTAATATATCGGATTCTCGTGTATTGAGGCGGTCAATAGTTTCTTTCTGATGAGGTGCGTCATGTATAGATTGCATTTCCACACTTGTTCGTCATGTTACTGCAAAATCAGATTTTCCTCCAAAAGGAGTGCGTCCGCCACAAGCCATTGGTATAGTAAGTAATGTGGCTAGCTCTCACTTTTCTATAAAAAAAGTAGGTTTAATGCCCCAAATCGATATTTGTTCATCATAAGAAAATACCTGCTTGCATTTTGAAAAAGGCTTTTTTATTCCTTATTTGAGAGAAATGAAAGTGAACAAGACGGCCCTCAGCTGAAGCCGAAGCTAATTTTCAGTTAACATGCAACTGGTCATTAGGCTTCAGTTCTCCCGAGCCAAAGGTCAATAATTGCATCTTGGGGAAAATCTTTTAACCAAACGGTGGGAGCCCTGTTTTGATGCATTAAGTGAAGGGTTCCCCTGTAATTGCATTAGTTGTTTTGAATCAGCGGAGCGGAGGATGAAAAATGAGCCTCCCCACCACCATTACAAAGTTTCCGTCCAGGGTAACTGGCCATCGCACATACAGAGGTGCTTGTTTTTTAATCTCCTCCTTATGTTCTTTCCATCTTATTTTTTCTCTTTCCTCCTCTGCCACCCCTTGCACTTCCTGTGCTTCTCTTCGATTTCTTCTTTATTTATTTAAACCATATTTATCCAGGTTACTCTCATTGAGATAAAATCTAATTTTTTGTTTGAAAACACCTGGTCCAAGATAGCAGCGGTTGACAAAAGTACAATTATGTTCTTACCCTTGTCTCCCTCTCTCGTCTCCCTCTAGCACCGGAAACCCTGATGCGGGCCCTGGAGCTGCTCAACTACGTGGCGGCGCTCAACGACGACGGCGACTTGACGGAGCTGGGCTCCATGATGGCTGAGTTCCCCTTAGACCCGCAGCTAGCCAAGATGGTGATCGCCTCCTGCGAGTTCAACTGCTCCAATGAGATCCTGTCCATCACAGCCATGCTGTCAGGTAATACTCAGGGAGAAAAGTGTGGCATGCCCATCACAAGCCACCTTCATTATTGTGCACACTAGTTTTCCTGTGAAAAGTTGTATGTTCATGGCAAATTTGCCCTTCATCCTCCCCAAAATATGGATTCAGTGCACTGCGCCTGCTACTTATTTTTCTCTTAGTTGTCTAGACGATGATCCCTTCACCCTTGACCCCTTTCTTGTTTAGTCTATTAGACCAGACAGGTTTTGGAGATAATTAGATGATATGTTTAAGTCATGAACTTCTCCTGAAACTCAATACTTTTGTATGTGCTTGGGTCTGCAGACACAACATGAAGAGCCTACTCTAGCCTTTGATATGCATTTGTTGACGTTAGATTTGTTTGTGTGGTGTCTAGAGCTGGTCTGACCATTTCACACCTGGTTCATTAGAAAAACATATTTGTCCGGGAAAGAACATAAAACCGTGCCTCTCTGTCATTGTAGCAATGGCATCACTCTAGTACTGATGCACTACATTGAGCTCTAAAAAGAGCTGTGTATAGGAGGTGTAATCTGAACTCCATCTCTGCAACTGTGAATTTCAATAACGATGTTGATGAATGTGATTTGACTTGCGGCTGATAGCAAATGTAATCTCAAATGGTCCTTAACTTTGCCCACAACCCCACGAGGTGGAAAGAAGCGTGAGAGCAGAAGGAGCTGGTGGTGTAAGTCAGTTAATATTTGTCAGGCAGGAAAAATGCGTGTCTACAGTAAATTAATGAGTTTATAGTCTGAGCAGCACCAATGTGCTGCGGCAGTAATTGCGCTTTAGGCTTGCCAAAGCAGAGTGCTGCTCATTGAGATGAATCCGATGCTTTTGAACAGAGGGAAAGGGAATTTAACTAGCTGTTTGGACACGCTGCACATCTATAACGGGTTTGTCAAGGAACCCGGTTTTCTGCTGAGTTCATTACCGAGTCAGCAGCGGATTCTAGGTCTCACATCGCCCAGGCAACCAAGTGTAGGGGTTCGAATCGATAAACACTCAGCTTTCACCCGTTAAGCCCACGATGGAGCATGTTTTGACGTTAGGCTGCTCACAGCAAGTTTCGGGAAGGCGGGAGGTGTTTGATGCAGCCTTTTGATGTACAAGTGCTTTTCCGCGTGGATGCAAGACCACAGTTTTCCCTCTAAAGTGCTCAGGCCAAGATCGAGTGGTTAGGAGGACACTTTCTTTGGTGTCCCTCTGCACCACCGCATACAGAGCTTATGAGTCAGATGAAGGCTAGCCTCATAAATGCCCTTTTGCCAAACAGTTTGAGTAAAGATACTTTTTTGGGGGGTTGGAGCCCCTTTCTATGCCCCTCCTCTCATACCCTGGCTGAGGTTAGGTCTTACAGTATGCAGCTCGTCAAACAGCTAAACTCAGCCAAGCGCAAAGCAGGAGAAAGCCAACCCTCCTTTGCCCTCTCCCACCCCCCTTCACCCCCTTCTTCCGACACGCACCTGTGGCAATGCTCTGTGCCGTGTGAAGTGCTCTCTCTGGCCTCTCTGACCCGAGGCCTTGTTCTTCTCTGTGGGAATTGCTTAACTCATCCCTATGGGCGGCTGTGTTGGGGCCCATACCAACCTTGTTTAGTCCCACAGTGTTTCGTACGACCCACGGAGGCTAGGAAGGCGGCCGACGAGTCCAAGATGCGTTTCGCCCACATTGATGGAGACCACCTGACCCTCCTCAACGTCTACCACGCCTTCAAACAGAGTACGTGTCCCACAGAATGTCCATTGAGCATGCTTTATTGTAATTCAGGACTAGGCTTAATCTGTGTCCGGTAAACCGACCTTGATGTCACTTAACATACAGTGCCTTTTTGTCAACGATCTACACAAAATACTATGCAATGTCAAAGTGGAAGAAAAATTCGAACATTTGTAAAACATTTATTTACATTTTCATTTACATTTTAGTCATTTAGCAGACGCTCTTATCCAGAGCGACTTACAGTTAGTGAGTGCATACATTTTTCATACTGGCCCCCCGTGGGAATCGAACCCACAACCCTGGCGTTGCAAGCGCCATGCTCTACCAACTGAGCTACAGGAGGCCTGTATGAAAAATAAAACACTAATATATCTTGATTCCATAAGTATTCACATCCCCTGAGTCTATACATGCTAGAATCACCTTTGGCAGTGATTACAGCTGTGAGTCTTTTTGGGTAAGTCTAAGAGCTTTGCACACCTGGATTGTACAATATTTGCACATTATTATTTGTAAAATTATTCAAGCTTTTGTCAAGTTGGTTGTTGATCATTGCTTGCCATAGATTTTCAAGACGATTTTAAGTCAAAACTGTAACTAGGCCACTCAGGAACATTCAGTGTTGTCTTGGTAAGCAACTCCAGTGTATATTTGGCCTTGTGTTTTAAGTTAATGTCCTGCTGAAAGGTGAATTTGTCTTTCAATGTCGGTTGGAAAGCAGACTGAACCAGATTTTCCTCTAGGATTTTGCATGTGCTTAGCTCTAGTCAGTTTGTTTTTATCATAAACTTCCTAGTCCTTGCCGATGACGAGCATACCCATAACATGATGCAGCCACCACCATGCTTGAAAATATGAAGTGCTCATGTGTTGTGTTGGATTTGCCCCAAACATAACGCTTTGTATTCAGGACATAAAGTTCATTTCTTTGTCACATTTTTTGCAGTTTTACTTCCGCGTCTTGTTGCAAACAGGATGCATGTTTATTCTGTACAGGCTTCCTTCTTTTCACTCTGTCATTTAGGTTAGTATTGTGGAGTAACTACAATGTTGTTGATCCATCCTCAGTTTTCGCCTATCACAGCCATTAAACTCTGCAACTGTTTTATGGTGAAATCCCTGAGTGGTTTCCTTCCTCTCCGGCAACTTAGTTAGGAAGGACGCCTGTATCTTTGTAGTGACTGGGTATATTGATACACCATCCAAAGTGTAATTAACTTCACCATGCTCGAAGGAATATTCAATGTCTGCTTTTCTTTTTACCCATCTACTAATAGATGCCCTTCTTTGCGAGGCATTGGAAAACCTCCCTGGTCTTTGTGGTTGAATCTGTGTTTGAAATTCACTGCTCGACTGAGGGACTTTACAGATAAGTGTATGTGTGGGGTACAGAGATGAGGTAGTCATTCAAAAATCATGTTGAACACTATTTATTGAGTCCATGCAACTTATTATGTGACTTGTTAAGCAAATTTTTACTCCTGAACTTATTTAGGCTTGCCATAACAAAGGTTTAATACTTATTGACTCATTAATTTGTAAACATTTCTAAAACATAATTCCACTTTGACATTATGGGGTATTGTGTGTAGGCTAGTGACACAATCTGAATTTAATCAATTTAAAATTCAGGCTGTAACACATCAAAATGTGGAAAAAGTCAAGGGGTGTGACTACTTTCTGAAGGCACTGTAAATCTAGATCTCGCCTCTCACAGACCATGAGTCGACACAGTGGTGCTACGACAACTTTGTGAACTACCGGTCGCTGATGTCGGCCGACAATGTGCGCCAGCAGCTGTCCCGGATCATGGAGCGCTTCAGTCTGCCCCGCCGCAGCACAGAGTTCACCAGTAGAGACTACTACATCAACATTCGCAGAGCGCTGGTCACAGGATTCTTCATGCAGGTCAGTGCTCACTGGCCAAACAGAGAAAGGAAGGGCCCAGAGGGTTCTGTCTCGGAATGTGTTGACATGCTCTAGTGCGCCATATTGTGCACCAACAACACAGCACTTGGTTTTGACCATTGGGTAGTTGGCAAGTACCTTGTACATGTTACAAAAATGTCCCAGGCCAGAGTGGAGTATGTGGGTTAGTCAGCTAACCCTAGTTAATGTTTTGAAATTGGAAAATAACACTGTACCACTGACTTATGGTTAGATAACCCAACTTCAATATAAGCCTGTTAACTTGTCAAACTGATGCCATCCCTTAATGTGGCAATCAGCAGTTGAAACAATAACAAAGCGTACTCCACTTTTCAGTAAAAAGCTGAGGGATGGGGCTGGAGAAATGGAACCGCTCTCAAATTCGTAGACCGAGCTATGGAGGCAAGGACTGATCTAAAAATTATAATTTTAACCATGTTTTTGAGGCTATAGTTTTACATTTACTTTAACAAACATTGGCGTAAAACAAGCTTATATTTTGGGTTCTGATGGGGTACGACAGTTGAACTAAGCTCATGAGACATAAGTTAAATTCTTTAAGAAATCAATGGGTACATATCATTTATTTAAATCCAAAAATGCATGTAGCAACTGCAGATTGCCCTTTTGAGACTGAAGTAAGATGCAGCGCTGCGTTTGTGCATCACCTTTGTGTTTTTTTCCCTAACTCACCATGTCTGTTTAGTTAACAGGTATTTACACTGTTGCTTAAAACACAACACGTCAAGATACTTATTGTAATGGATAGCCTCCCCTAAGTGTGCACACACAGGCACAACCAGTTAAACACATAATAAGAATTCAAGGCAGTTTGCTGCCTGCTAAGGGAAAATAAATGACATTTTGTTGAAAGTCCATTTCCGGGGGAACCTGAAAACAAGCGACATGACAAGTTGAATTACGCCGTTAATATACAAATATTTGTCAACATTAACCTTTATCGCAAAGACACATTTGTGGCTCATATTGCAGTTTAGGGGTGTTTTGAGTGCATGTCTTTGTTTGGAGAGGTCTTTATTGAGACTGATTGATTGGCCTTGTTAATCACAGCAGCCATCATCTGCATATTAAAGTACCCCGAACGGAAACTAAAAATGAACCGCCCTCCTTAACTTGGCAAATTCTGCTGAAGTTATACCGCCTAAGCCCAGAGCTGCCACTTTTTCCCTTTTCTGTGTAATTGATTGTGTTCATTGTACTTTAAAGATGTACACTACATTCAGTCTAGTTGAAACCCGAATAGGCCGATTTGGCTGCAGGGATTATAGATGGTAAAAAAACTGTGTTAAATCGCCTCAGGCTAAAAAACAAACCTGCAGATCACAAGTGCCTGATCAGGAAACATGTTGATACTGTGTTTCTGTGTGTGTATGGTAAGGATGTAACATTTGATATGCATCGGTCCCTGGTTTAAATGTTTTAGATACAAGTGCATTGGTCTGTGGGACCCCAAACTGATCCAAATGTTGCATGCATTGGTCCGAAAATAGATTCAAACGTTCGAATCGCCGGCTCACTAAAATGTTTTGCTCATATTACTTTTTTTCTACCTTCCGAAAATACCTAATCTTTTGTGACAATTGATGCATCCTCTCCTTCAGTGTCAAACTAAGCATGTAACTGCGTTGAACGTCATTGATCTACAAGTAATTTTTCATGCCGAACAACCCCAAGCAATATCAGTAGTCTAGTCAAACTGCTCACTGTGCTGCTGCTTGCGCTGACCAACAAGATGTAGGCAGACTATTCCTGATCTTGCACATCTGCGCGGCACCTTCAGCATTCAAATGCTTGGAAAATGGCTTGCGCAATATTAGGCTTTATTAGTTGAGTGAAAACCAATGTAATTTGATAGGTTATTGTGTGGTTGAAAATTGTGTTTTACCAGAATAAAAGTAAGCTTCCGGAGACAACTTTCATCTGGCTATAGCCTATACCTGCTGATCGGGGCTTATATTTGATTTTATTACGATTGTTCAGGTTCCCCGTCAGCAATAGGTTTGGTAGTTTTGCTTTAAATAATCGGTGTATATGGTCAGTTTTAGATATACAGGGTCACGTTGATAATTTCATAACGATCAAAACCATTCATTTTGAGACTGGGTGAAATCCAAAGTTGTGCTATATTCATTGTCATAGCAAACAATTTAAGTTAAATATTGATACATTACTAGCTAAAAACACTTTTAATTCAGATCAAAAGTGGGGAGAGAAAAAATCATACATTGCCCCCCCAATCTGACAGTGGCTTAGCTCAGGTGACTATATACACAATAGACATATACACTACCGTTCAAAAGTTTGGGGTCACTTAGAAATGTCTTTGTTTTTCGAAAGAAAAGCAATTTTTTTGTCCATTAAAATAACATCAAATTGAACAGAAATTAAAAGATGCTGGAGGAGTGCTTGATGCCATCTGTCAAGCATGGTGGAGGCAATGTGATGGTCTGGGGGGTGCTTTGGTGGTGGTAAAGTGGGAGATTAGTACAGGGTAAAAGGGATCTTGAAGAAGGAAGGCTATCACTCCATTTTGCAACGCCATGCCATACCCTGTGGACGGCGCTTGATTGGAGCCAATTTCCTCCTACAACAGGACAATGACCCAAAGCACAGCTCCAAACTATGCAATAACTATTTAGGGAAGAAGCAGTCAGCTGGTATTCTGTCTATAATGGAGTGGCCAGCCCAGTCACTGGATCTCAACCCTATTGAGCTGTTGTGGGAGCAGCTTGACCGTATGGTACGTAAGAAGTGCCCATCAAGCCAATCCAACTTGTGGAAGGTGCTTGAGGAAGCATGAGGTGAAATCTCTTCAGATTACCTCAATAAATTGACAACTAGAATGCCAAAGGTCTGCAAGGCTGTTATTGCTGCAAATGGAGGATTCTTTGACGAAAGCAAAGTTTGAAGGAGACAATTATTATTTCTATTAAAAATCATTATTTCTAACCTTGTCAATGACTACATTTCCTGTGCATGTTGCTATATTTCCTATTCAAACTCATTTCATGTATGTTTTCATGGAAAACAAGGACATTTCTAAGTGACCCCAAACTTTTGAACGGTAGTGTACATCATACACACATACACAGACAAGTCAGCTCAGCAGATTTTAATTTAAAATGGAAAATGAAAGTGTTTATGCAACAAATGTTATAGCATCAAATCGTATCCCACCGAACCGCATCGATTCATTCCTCTAATCAAACCGAATCACACCGAATCATTTCAAATTATAAAGTATCGTATCGAAGCCCATGTATCTAGATACGTATCGAATCATCTTGAAAGGCAAAGATGCATATCCCTAGTGTATGGACTTTAAATGAGTGGATACTGTATGCGTTGGTGAGATTTTGTTAATAAATGTCAATGGGTAGTCCTCTTGAAATGTAATTAGTCTTGTGTGCAGCTAATATCTAGCCTACTTATTCCTGTGTATGTGATTGACAGGTAGCCCATTTGGAGCGTACGGGCCACTACCTGACTGTGAAGGACAACCAGGTGGTCCAGCTGCACCCCTCCACTGTGCTGGACCGCAAGCCGGAGTGGGTGATGTACAATGAGTTTGTGCTGACCACCAAGAACTACATCCGCACCTGCACCGACATCAAACCAGAGTGGTAAGCTCACTGCTTGCCTAGCCCTAGGTCCGTCTTGTCTAGTGTGTGTCCTGGCTATAGTCGGTCCTCTCCTAGATGTCTGTGTATGTGCTTGCCTGCAGTCAACCCGCCTGCTCCTAGATCCATATTTCTTCTAGACCGGTGAGAATGTGAGTACGGGTGTGTAAACAAGCAGTCAGCCCGCTCCTTGTGTGTGTGTGTGACACTCAGTGTCCGCATTGTTTGATTACGTGGGTTTTTCTCTTTTCATGTCTTTGTACTTCTGTCTGTTTGTGCTTGCGCATTTGTGTCAGATGAAGTGTGTCTGCACCAATCTCTCTCTGTCTCTGTGTGTGTGTGCGAACCTTCCTTCTCTTTCACTCAAACACACATGTACACACACACAATCGCAGACACATTTCATGACTGTTTACTTGTCCTTTCCCAGGCTGGTGAAAATCGCCCCGCAGTACTATGAGATGGGTAACTTCCCCAACTGTGAAGCCAAGAGACAGTTGGAGCGCATCGTTGCTAAACTCTCAACCAAGGAATACTCTCAGTACTAACACTATACGTTTGTATGAGAACAAACCATCACCACCAGCACTAAGGAAATCTGAAGTCTTTATCTGAGCACTCTTAATTTTCTTCTCATTGGATCATGATGTATTATTTTCATATTTTCATACTTTTTGTTTGGCTCCTCCTCCTTTATTTGACCACCTGTAGTCATTGTGATTAACAGGTGGTTGGCACTGCGGCTGATCCGGGTGGGAGTCAACACAATTATTGCCATTGACCATGGTAAAGCATTACCATTTATGTAGATGTTGACATTCCTTTTTAGAACGCGTGAACTCTTACTGAAATGTACTTAGGTAGAGACATTCCATGCTAATTCATTGAACAAACTTTGACTTCAATTTAAGGAAAAATACCAGCGTCGACAGTTTAGCACCCACCGTCTTGCTTGTATAGCTACCAGACTTTGGTGTTATGTTAGGGGGATGGGCTCAGCAGGTTGAAATGTTACAAATGTGATTGTCTTGTGTTTTATATATATTTTGAGGTTGGAATAATACTGTAAAAATGATAATGCCCTTTTAGTGTAAGAGCTGTTTGAAAAGACAGCCTGAAATGTCATCCTGTTTTGTAAATTAGTTGATAGACCAATAAGAAAGAGGTGCAAACCTCTCTGCCAATAACAGCTAGTTTTCCGTTTTCCCCTCGCCACTCAGACCACTCCCAGACAGTCCTAGCAAAATTCTTGCTTGAGAAATTGCTTTCTTTTTGACCATTTTAATTGAAAACAATCACAGTAAGGTACTTCATTGTTACCCAGAAAGGTTTGATATTGATATAAAAACGGATGCATTGGGCTTTTAATGTATTTTAATGTGAATGGACACAAGGGCGCTCCCCTTGTGTGAACAAATATGGTGTCATTATAGGGGTGTGCGGACTGGTAAATTACCGGGTCATCCATTTTAAAATCACATGAATAAACTGTAAGAACTTTAATGGCCTTTGCATTTTTGGCTTTTCAAGCTTGGCCTTTGAAGTCAATGTCTGAGTTCTTTATTTTTTTATTTTTTTTAGGTATTGATGTAGTGTATATAGATATGTATGTATGTATGTATACTGAACAAAAATATAAACGCAACATGCAACAATTTCAAAGATTTTACTGAGTTACAGTTCATATAAGGAAATCAGTCAATTTAAATAAATAAATTAGGTCTTAATCTATGGATTTCACATGACTGGGAATACAGATATGCATCTGTTGGTCACAGATACACTATATATACAAAAGTATGTGGACACCCCTTCAAATTAGTGGATTCGGCTATTTCAGCCACACCCTTGCTGACAAATGTATAAAATTGAGCACACAGCTATGCAATCTCCATAGACAAACATTGGCAGTAGAATGACCTTACTGAAGAGCTCAGTGACTTTCAATGTGGCACCGTCATAGGATGCCACCTTTTCAACAAGTCAGTTCGTCAAATGACCGGGGCAGCTGTAGCAGGGCAGACAACTGTAAGTGCTGTTATTGTGAAGTGGAAACGTCCAGGAGCAACAACAGTTCAGCCGCGAAGTGGTAGGCCACACAAGCTCACAGAACCGGACTGCCGAGTGCTGTAGCGCGTAAAAATCATCTGTCCTCGGTTGCAACACTCACTACCGGGATCCAAACTGCCTCTGGAAGCAACGTCAGCACAATAACTGTTCATCAGGAGCTTCATGGGGTTTCCATGGCCGAGCAGCTGCACACAAGCCTAAGATCACCATGCGCAATGCCTAGCGCGACTGAGTGGTGTAAAGCTCGCCGCCATTGGACTCTGGAACAGTGGAAACGCGTTCTCTGGGGTGATGAATCACGCTTCACCATCTGGCAGTCCGACGGACAAATCTGGGTTTGGCAGATGCCAGGAGAACGCTACCTGACCGAATGCATAGTGCCAACTGTAAAGTTTGGTGGAGGAGAATTACTGGTCTGCGGCTGTTTTTCATGGTTCAGGCTCCTTAGTTCCAGTAAAGGGAAATCTTAATGACATTCTAGATGATTCTGTTCCAACTTTGTGGCAACAGTTTGGGGAAGGCCCTTTCCTGTTTCAGCATGATAATGCACCCTTGCACAAAGCGAGGTCCATACAGAAATGGTTTGTCGAGATCGGTGTGGAAGAACTTCACTGGCCTGCACAGAGCCCTGACCTCAACCCCATCGAACACCTTTGGGATGAATTGGAACGCCGACTGCGAGCCAGGCCTAATCGCCCAACATCAGTGCCCGACCTCACTAATGCTCGTGGCTGAATGGAAGCAAGTCCCTGCAGCAATGTTCCAACATCTAGTGGAAAGCCTTCCCAGAAGAGTGGAGGCTGTTATAGCAGCAAAGGGGGGACCAACTCCATATTAATGCCCATGATTTTGGAATGAGCTGTTTGACAAGCAGGTGTCCACATACTTTTGGTCAGAAAACCAGTCTGTATCTGGTTTGACCACCATTTGCCTCATTTAGCACAACATATCTCATTGATTAGGCTGTTGATTGTGGCCTGTGGAATGTTGTTCCACTCTTCTTCAATGGATGTGCGAAGTTGCTGGATATTAGCTGGAACTGGAACACGCTGTCTTACACGTCGATCCAGAGCATCCCAAACATGCTCAATAGGAGACATGTCTGGTGAGTATGCAGGCCATGGAAGAACTGGGACATTTGCAGCTTCCAGGAATTGTGTACAGATTCTTGCGACATGGGGCCATGCATTATCATGCTGAAACATGAGGTGATGGAGGCGGATGAATGGCACGACAATGGACCTCCAGGATCTCGTCACAGTATATCTGTGCATTCAAATTGCCATTGATAAAATGCAATTGTGTTCGTTGTCCATAGCATCTGCCTGACAATACCATAACCCCACCAAGGGACACTCTGTTAGAATGTTGACATCAGCAAACCGCTCGCCCACACGACACCATACACGTGGTCTGCGGTTGTGAGACCGGTTGGACGTACTGTCAATTCTCTAAAACGACGTTGGAGATGGCTTATGGTAATGAAACAAACATTCAATTCTCTGGCAACAGCTCTGGTGGATATTCCTACAGTCAGCATGCCAATTGCATCCTCCCTCAACTTGAGACATCTGTGGTGTTTGACAAAACTGCATATTTTAAAGTGGCCTTTTATTGTCCCTAGCACAATGTGCACTTATGTAATGATCATGCTGTTTAATCAGCTTCTTCATATTCTTCACCTGTCAGGTGGATGGATGATCTTTGCAAAGGAGAAATGCTCACTAACAGGGATGTAAACAAATTTGTGCACAAAATTTGAGATAAATAAGCTTTTTATGCATATGGAACATTTCTGGGATCTTTTATTTCAGCTCATGAAACATGAGACCAACACTTTACATGTTGCGTTTATATTTTTGTTCAGTGTATATCAGCCAATAACTGGATAATTCCAGATATCACCGTTAGTCTGAAAGTAATCATAGACAAGTTAATACAAATGTTTGAGGGTGAAATCGATGTGAAAATCGCTGCCCGCATCTCTGTTGGAGTGGTAGGGTCTTTAGTTGCATAAAATTGCTCAAGCTTTTGTCAAGCCACTGATGAGGCTGCATAATCATTTGAAACAGGACCCATTAACATCCTAAACGTTCTTCAGTACACTTCCTAATTTTTCATCAGGATTGGACAACTAGTTCTTATCAAACTTTGAACAGAAATGAATTGAATATTTATTTGCTTCTCTAGCCAAGAAAGTTTGATGAGCCCTGGAGAAGTTTCTTAGAGAGCTCCCCTGTCATCCTATGGGTCAGCAGCCCAAATGAAGCACGTCGCTGTGTGAGGCGGCGCGTAAAGCCACAAGAAATTGGATGCAGGACTCCTCAGAGATGAGAGCCTTGAAGACAGGGCTGTTCCCCAGGCTCAGGTCAGCCCAGGTCCCAAAGAAGGCTAGCCCAACTGGGGGAGCATCTTGGGTCCTTCTACCCCTGAAGGCACCCTCGTGGCTGCTTTGGGTTGAGGGGGTTTCGCAGTGTGTGTCCAGCTTCGGCTGGCTCTGTTTGAGGCTCGGTGACTTCCATAAAATCTCTGCATTATTCAGAGTTAAAGCCTCCTGACAGTTATATGAACTCTGGCGTTTTAGTCCCCCCTATGGGGGATCATGCCTAAAGAAAAATGTCAATGGCTGTGGATGCAGTTCTTTGAGATTGTGCTTATTCCCGAATATATGGTGCCTTATGCACTCTGGCCGTTGCGGGTGGATTCTGTTGGTTTTTCCCTGTCGTGACATTTCTCTTTCTCTACCTCATTGTATATTCTCAGTAAGGCTGCGAAGGCGGTCTAGTTTCCACCGAACATTCATCTCGCCTGAATGGCAGCCTGTGTCTGGCACACCTCAGCCATTCCAGGTACTTTACAGTGAGGGAAAAAAGTATTTGATCCCCTGCTGATTTTGTACGTTTGCCCACTGACAAAGAAATGATCAGTCTATAATTTTAATGGTAGGTTTATTTGAACAGTGAGAGACAGAATAACAACAAAAAAATCCAGAAAAACGCATGTCAAAAATGTTATAAATTGATTTGCATTTTAATGAGGGAAATAAGTGTTTGACCCCTCTGCAAAACATGACTTAGTACTTGGTGGCAAAACCCTTGTTGGCAATCACAGAGGTAAGACGTTTCTTGTAGTTGGCCACCAGGTTTGCACACATCTCAGGAGGGATTTTGTCCCACTCCTCTTTGCAGATCTTCTCCAAGTCATTAAGGTTTCGAGGCTGACGTTTGGCAACTCTAACCTTTAGCTCCCTCCACAGATTTTCTATGGGCTAGGCCACTCCAGGACCTTAATGTGCTTCTTCTTGAGCCACTCCTTTGTTGCCTTGGCCGTGTGTTTTGGGTCATTGTCATGCTGGAATACCCATCCACGACCCATTTTCAATGCCCTGGCTGAGGGAAGGAGGTTCTCACCCAAGATTTGACGGTACATGGCCCCGTCCATCGTCCCTTTGATGCGGTGAAGTTGTCCTGTCCCCTTAGCAGAAAAACACCCCCAAAGCGTAATGTTTCCACCTCCATGTTTGACGGTGGGGATGGTGTTCTTGGGGTCATAGGCAGCATTCCTCCTCCTCCAAACACGGCGAGTTGAGTTGATGCCAAAGAGCTCCATTTTGGTCTCATCTGACCACAACACTTTCACCCAGTTCTCCTCTGAATCATTCAGATGTTCATTGGCAAACTTCAGACGGGCATGTATATGTGCTTTCTTGAGCAGGGGGACCTTGCGGATGCTGCAGGATTTCAGTCCTTCACGGCGTAGTGTGTTACCAATTGTTTTCTTGGTGACTATGGTCCCAGCTGCCTTGAGATCATTGACAAGACCCTCCCGTGTAGTTCTGGGCTGATTCCTCACCGTTCTCATGATCATTGCAACTCCACGAGGTGAGATCTTGCATGGAGCCCCAGGCCGAGGGAGATTGACAGTTATTTTGTGTTTCTTCCATTTGCGAATAATCGCACCAACTGTTGTCACCTTCTCACCAAGCTGCTTGGCGATGGCCTTGTAGCCCATTCCAGCCTTGTGTAGGTCTACAATCTTGTCCCTGACATCCTTGGAGAGCTCTTTGGTCTTGGCCATGGTGGAGAGTTTCGTATCTGATTGATTGATTGCTTCTGTGGACAGGTCTCTTTTATACAGGTAACAAACTGAGATTAGGAGCACTCCCTTTAAGAGTGTGCTCCTAATCTCAGCTCGTTACCTATAAAAAAGACACCTGGGAGCCAAAAATCTATCTGATTGAGAGGGGGTCAAATACTTATTTCCCTCATTAAAAAGCAAATCAATTTATAACATTTTTGACATGCGTTCTTCTGGATTTTTTTGTTGTTATTCTGTCTCACTGTTCAAATAAACCTACCATTAAAATTATAGACTGATCATTTCTTTGTCAGTGGGCAAACGTACAAAATCAGCAAGGGATCAAATACCTTTTTCCCTCACTGTATGTCCATTTGTTTTTAAAATGGCTTCCCTTGTGTCTTGTGTTGCTGGGCCAAAACTGAAGCATTTGCAGCGTCACGGTTGATGTTTATGCAGCTGACTACGTGGGCGAGAACGTAGTTTGCCACGGCACCCAAGGGGTCTTTTTGTTTTAGCTCCGTGATGATCCATTAGTCTTACATGAGGACCAAATAAATGTTTTCTCCACCTATGGCATAATATATCTCACCTCTGTGTGCCTGAGAAGGGATGAGTCTTATGCTAAGAGACACTACTGAGGAAGACTAACTTCAAAAGCGACCCTTAACTTAGCATTTGCCCCCTGATTGAAGTTTCAAAGGCAAGTCAGCCAAGTGAGGAGGGGATGTTTAAATGTTTTCAGTGCGGTCTTTAGTAGCGAGAGGAGAGAGGGGAATGTGGCTCTCTATACTACTGAGGGAGTTGCATTTTACGGCTATGCCTTGCGCAATATGCAAAGTCAGGAGATTAGCATGTTTATTTTATCTTTTCAGACTGTTGGGAGGCGAGTGTTTCAGTTTTTATATCGACTACTTTTTGCACAGGAACATGAATGTAATCATGAAATGTTGCCAGGCAGATTAGCACCCTTAACTGAAGCCAATGGAAAACCCATAGGTTTTTGTGTTATATTTTATTAGTTAGTGGCTAATGACACAGTGAAAGCGTAACATATATTTAACAAATATCCATTTTAGACCCATTCTCCATATGCTTTTCTTGGTGTGTACAGCATTGTCTTACGTCGGCGCAACGACCGTCTGCACTGACGTTTGTTGCTTTAGAATGGCGCCATCTGTTTGAAGACAATGGTGTGTACAGTTCATTCCAATGGCATGGTGAAATCTGTGTTATGTAAACATAATGTCCTCTATGATTGTGTCTGAATTGGACTTACATAGTTTGCAGTACAACACGGCCCGTCCACATACAGTACGTTTGCCCACTGACAAATAAATTATCAGTCTATAATTTTAATGGTAGGTTTATTTGAACAGTGAGAGACAGAATAACAACAGAAATATCCAGAAAAACGCATGTCAAAAATGTTATAAATTGATTTGCATTTTAATGAGGGAAATAAGTATTTGACCCCTCTGCAAAACATGACTTAGTACTTGGTGGCAAAACCCTTGTTGGCAATCACAGAGGTCAGATGTTTCTTGTAGTTGGCCACCAGGTTTGCACACATCTCAGGAGGGATTTTGTCCCACTCCTCTTTGCAGATCTTCTCCAAGTCAATAAGGTTTCGAGGCTGACGTTTGGCAACTCGAACCTTCAGCTCCCTCCACAGATTTTCTATGGGATTAAGGTCTGGAGACTGGCTAGGCCACTCCAGGACCTTAATGTGCTTCTTCTTGAGCCACTCCTTTGTTGCCTTGGCCGTGTGTTTTGGGTCATTGTCATGCTGGAATACCCATCCACGACCCATTTTCAATGCCCTGGCTGAGGGAAGGAGGTTCTCACCCAAGATTTGACGGTACATGGCCCCGTCTATCGTCCCTTTGATGCGGTGAAGTTGTCCTGTCCCCTTAGCAGAAAAACACCCCCAGAGCATAATGTTTCCACCTACATGTTTGACAGTGGTGATGGTGTTCTTGGGGTCATAGGCAGCATTCCTCCTCCTCCAAACACGGCGAGTTGAGTTGATGCCAAAGAGCTCGATTTTGGTCTCATCTGACCACAACACTTTCACCCAGTTCTCCTCTGAATCATTCAGATGTTCATTGGCAAACTTCAGACGTGCATGTATATCTGCTTTCTTGAGCAGGGGGACCTTGCGGGCGCTGCAGGATTTCAGTCCTTCACGGCGTAGTGTGTTACCAATTGTTTTCTTGGTGACTATGGTCCCAGCTGCCTTGAGATCATTGACAAGATCCTCCCGTGTAGTTCTGGGCTGATTCCCCACCGTTCTCATGATCATTGCAACTCCACAAGGTGAGATCTTGCATGGAGCCCCAGGCTGAGGGAGATTGACAGGTCTTTTGTGTTTCTTCCATTTGCGAATAATCGCACCAACTGTTGTCACCTTCTCACCAAGCTGCTTGGCGATGGTCTTGTAGCCCATTCCAGCCTTGTGTAGGTCTACAATCTTGTCCCTGACATCCTTGGAGAGCTCTTTGGTCTTGGCCATGGTGGAGAGTTGGGAATCTGATTGATTGATTGCTTCTGTGGACAGGTGTCTTTTATACAGGTAACAAGCTGAGATTAGGGGCACTCCCTTTAAGAATGTGCTCCTAATCTCAGCTCGTTACCTGTATAAAAGACACCTGGGAGCCAGAAATCTTTCTGATTGAGAGGGGGTCAAATACTTATTTCCCTCATTAAAATGCAAATCAATTTATAACATTTTTGACATGCGTTCTTTCTGGATTTTTTTGTTGTTTTTCTGTCTCTCACTGTTCAGATAAACCTACCATTAAAATTATAGACTGATCATTTCTTTGTCAGTGGGCAAACGTACAAAATCAGCAGGGGATCAAATACTTTTTTCCCTCACTGTACTACCTGATATTTCCCAATTTTTAAATGGCGTTCATTTATGCCTAAGCAGTCATGATCGAAGTTCAGTAATCCCATGCTTCAGTATAAAGGAGTTGTATAATTTCAGCAAATGCATTCTTTTTTAGAGGAACTTCCATGGCTTAACCTTTAGTCCTGGGTGATAAGAAGCCATGGATACATTATTATGTAGAGGAAGTAGATTGCTTGAACCAGTGTACCCTCAGTTCATCACTTCACCCAACCCTCACCTGCTGACTCTGTCATTCTCAGCCTTTGCTGATGTGCCCCCCTTTGAATGTGACAGAGGACAATATAAGGGACCATTCAACAGAGGTCTGCGAACATAACTTACCAAAATCACAAACTCTGAGACAAACGGACAATGAAATGGCTTTGTTCGCCACTAGCCAACTGGCACACAAATCACCACTTTGTATGGGAATGACTGCATCTCTGGACCACCCATGGGTCGCTGGATGGAGGCCTCATCAGTTTGGGCTTTGGTGGGGGGGGGAGTTTATTGCAAGACACCTCAGCGTTTCGCAAA